AAAAAAAAAAAAAAAAAAAAAAAAAAATGGAGTAAGGAGGGCACAGATTTACTGAAGAGAAAGAGCACTCCACAGAGTGGGAGCAGGCTCAAGCAAGCGGCCAAGGACCCCGATTGCAATGCGCCCCAAGGTTTTCATAAAGCTAAAAGAATTTGGTAACACCCCTAGCTGCCCTTTGGAGGTTTCCAGTGGGTTACACCCTGTGGAGGATGAGTCTGCAACAATCAGAGGCTGAAGTGGAGTCTCATTATCACAGGAGGGAGGCTATGGCCTGTGTGCTGCCTCATCTTGCCTGGAACTGGCTGCACCTGCTGTTCTTTTGCTTATCCCTTCGTTCCTGGTTACCCTCATTCCTTCCTCTCCTGCCTCAGCAGGGTGCCGTGTTCAGTGTGGGCTCCGCTGAGCAGCAGCTGCCCTGTCTCACCAACAGCATGAGGTGCCATGCCTCGGTGGCAAGGCCTTCTATAAAGAGGGTGGCAGTCCTCCTGTGGAATGCCGGGTTGCCAGGCTCTGTGGCTCACGTGAAGTTCTGCTCTGAGTCCCACCTGCAAACCTGGCTGAGCAAAGGCAGCAAAACTGCTGAGCCCCTGGTGCCCAAAATGATACCCCAGCTCCCCGTTGCGCAGGTCTGATGCGGCTGCCTGGAATGGTGTTTGGTCTCCGAGCAAAAGGCCCTGGAGGCAAACCCTCCCTGCAAGGATGTGGCCACTTCCCTGTGGACAGAGGTCTGGGCTGCAGCAACCTTGCGGTCGCCTCCCAGGTGTCCCAGCAAGCCCGTGTTGGCCTTTTCTGCTGTTCGTCTTTGAGCAGAGGCGACAGAGCTTGCTGGCAAGTCAAGGTGGGCTCCCTGCCCCCTTGCTGGCCAGGTCGGGCAGCAGCTTCTGCTGCTCTGATGCAGACTGGTGTGCAGCCTGCCCCACTGACCTAGGCCCACTGCTGGGGTCCCACAGACATTTCAGAGTGTGTCTCAGGGTGGGCTCACTACATGCCAGAGGGCTAACTCCCCACTTGGCTTGGGGCAAGATAGTAAAGACCCCCCAGCAAAGACTGTGCAGTCCCAGGGCTCTCTCGCCCTTCACAGAACCAACCACAAAGCCTTTCCAAGGACCAGGGAACTCGAGGTCTCACACGCCTTCTCTCTCCCCAGGGAACATTTTTAACAGCTTCTGCCGGCCACGCCCTGCGTCCATGTCCAGGTCAGTCCTGGAGGCCCTGACGTCTTACACTGCCATGCAATGTATCCCCTCTGACGGCTGCTCATTGTTCCTGCGTGTACGCGCCTCCATCACCCTGCATGGTGAGAGGTGGCCTCGAGGGTGGGAGTAACACCCACAGGTCCAGCAGTGGGCCCAGGTGCCTTTTATTCCCATCAAACCCTGGGCAGCCTGGTGAGGGAGCGGGGCGCTGCTAACCGCACTTCACAGAGAGAAGGCAGAGGAACAGGGTCCCACGGCCCCATCTGGAGCCAGGGGCAGCCCTAGTCTGACGTGCCCTGCTGGGCCCTTCCTCCACCCAGAGCACCTGCGGGGCCTGGAGGCCTGCACCATGAGCCTGGACACCCAGGAGACGCAGTGTCAGAGCGTGTGGGTGGCCAGGGCCTCCCACCGGCAGCAGGTGGGGCAGCAGGTGAGGCCAGGGCAGGGCTCTGCCACCCACGTCCCGAAGACTGGGCACCGCTCCTCCTGGGCGCCATCCCTCGCTCTGAGCTCCAGCCACGCAAATGGAGCTGGCCGGCTGGGGAGGGCAGTGCCTCTGAGTCCACGCAGCTCACACCTGCACCTGCTCAGCTCCAGGTGTACTTTGGCTGCTTTGCGGTGAGCGTGGCCCAGCACCTCTATGTCACCCTGAGGACCATCCCTCATTTCTGCGGGGTCCAGCTGGATCAGAAGCACCTCGTGGAAGGTAGGGTCCCCAGGGCCCCCCTGGGCACAGCTGCCGTTCAGCCTCCAGGGCCTGGCTTGGGGTGGGACTTCCCAGGGCAGGGGCCTGGCCCTCACACTGGACAGATCCCCGCAAGGCCTTTGGCTTAATTCGAGGTCGCATGGCGGAGGCACAGC